GATATATATAAGGATTGTATTGTATATTGATTGTATACAGCAAAAAGTACGAAGTTCTATTATACTACCCTGTATCTTATTTATGAATTTTTACAAAACTGTATTTGAAGTATAATTTTGTAATTGTAAAGTAAAATTCTTAATAGTAGACTGGGTTTTCAAAATATTACTTGCTTAGGAAATATTTGATAACATTTGAGTGTTAATAAAAATTTTTTTAATAAATTTATGAACTAGGAACAGCTTTGGACGATATTCTTACACATATGTTTTAACTACATTTTGTTTTAACTTTATAAAGCAGGGATTAGTCTGGGAAATAGTAATTTTCTACAAAAAACTGGGAAAATTCCTGTATCATACCTGGATAATAACCTGTCTCAGAAATGTCAGTAACATTAATCAGTTATTGAGATACAAGTTAAATAAGTCTAACAAATCTGCTACAATTATTTTTTAAAATTCCACTTTTTAGTAAGACTTTTCCATGTTTTCATTCTCATACTGTTATACGTCTTTGTTCACAAAATCTAATGTTTGACATAACAAATAAAAAAAGTGAAAGTTTTCTGATGAAAAATTGCATGGTATAAATAAAATAGGGTTTAGATTTCAATTTAAATTTACCTGATATATCCAGGGATTGCTCAAGACAAATTCAGGCCCAAGGCCCATCAATTTTTCCAGGCCCTTTACAAAAATGTTTTGAAATTAAATTACTTAAGACATTAAATTACTGACAAAAAAAAAAGAATCTATTGAACTGCATGATTCAAGAGAAACTTTCTAAGAAATTTTAAAAGCAGGCAATTGAAGATTATTTTTTGAAGATAAAGTTTATATAGAACAACAAAACAATGTTATGTCAAAATAAAAATAGTTTGGTGACCACAAACAATTGATATTAGTGATTGTAGCTGAACTATTTTTATTGTAAGCTGTAATTATTTTTTATTTAGTATTTAAACCAACACAAAGCTTGTCTACCATTCATTAGATTTAATGATAAGTTCAGCACATATGCTAAGATATTAAGGTTATTAATTATAATTCTTATTAAAAAATACATTTCAACACATAAAAAATATGCAAAGGAGCCAAAATTATATCTACTCATAGAAAATTAAAAGCACATTTAAATAATAATTTATTTAGATATAACAGATTTTTAAAAATTAAAATTCATGTTCACTGAAAAATTTCTGATTAAAATATTGATACATTTAAAAGTATTCAATGCAATAGTCTTTTTAAAATTGTTTTTTATTTTTTTAAATTTTTTTTTAGCAACTAATTTTATGAGAATTTCAAAATCCTGTTCTGCAGTATTATCTGTCTCAACTTATAACATGATAGGTTTTTACTGCTTTAAAATTTAATCCTAAATATTACTAAATCTATATAAAGCAGAATATGAAAAAAAGAAACAAAGTTATGTTTACATAAAAATAGTTGAAGACATTTGGTGATCACAAACAATAACTATCGTGGTCTTTTGCTGTGTTATTAAGCTGTAATTATTCGTTACTTAAACGAACATAAAGCTAACCCACCTTACTTTCGAATTTGATTACTGCAATGTTTACGTGAGTTTGCTCGTATCACGATATAAAGAAAATTTGAAATAAAAAAAATTCTTTTTTTTGAGAAAAACTGTTTCTTTCAGTATTTAAAAGAAATTGTAATATTAAGGACTTTTTACTAATGTTTGAGGCCCCTCAGAAATAGTGGGCCCTAGGCCCATGCCTATTGGACCAACCTAGGCAATAATCAGGGCCTGGATATACCTGGAAAAGTCAGGGAATATTATTTTTCTGAAATTGAGTGCGAACCCTGTTTGCTTGCTTTTATTTTCCGAATTAAATTCTGTTCTACGAACGTACTGGAATATCTTCAACAGCATTTTAGTCTTTTTCGACTAATTTTGGTTCATCAGCAAAAAATTAATGAAATAGTGAATTAACAGGGAATACATAAAAATAATAATTAACAGGGAACGTCCTAAACATATCTAATCTTTCATAACCAAATACACAATAAAGCAAAACTTGTAACCAGTCATTACAATTTTTCTAGTCTTATACTAAAAATCATTGGTGCTATTATATCAATCCAATTATTTTCTATTCTATCCAGACTCTTAATATACTTAAATGACCTATTTTGTTATTAAAATTCAAGGAAAACTGAGAAACGTCTCATTAGAGTTCTTATTATTGAAATGTTTAAGAGAAGGTGACTCACCATGTCTACTGTCCCTGTGATGACTGAAAGCCTGACCAAAATTCTTTACAAAAATACTTGTTTATAAATGTTTTTTTATTAAAGAAAAGGGTGGAGAATTTCTTTATATCTACCTAAAACTGAATATTTTTTTTAAAGAGTCTGGTTCATCAAAAAACAATAAGAATTTTTGTGGTTTGAGGATGGAGCCCATAAAACCTTTGCTCACCCTTGAATGTAATTATCTTCTTCCTTGTCTGTAAAGCAGTTTTCGTGAGCCCATTATAGATACACATCAAGGGATTGGCAAGTATCTGGTTCTACCCCCGCAAACAGAGGTTGTTGAAACAAAACAGAAACAGTGCTACTTATCGGGCTAAATCTTTATTGTTTGTGAGGGTATGAATCTTCAGTAAATGTGTAATGAGCTGGACTAAATATAACTATTATAACTGTAATGACCAATAAATAAGGCGAGTGTAGAAGCAAGAGAACATTAGAGAGTTGACATAGTAAGACAAACTTATTTATACAGACACGGGAGTTAATTAACCATGATATGGTAGGTCTTTCTAGACTAGTAAAATGTAATTTAGAGTTCGTCTGCTGGAAAACAGAACTAATTTCACCAAAATCGAGGTACTCAGTTTTACCCCTCTCTTCCCTATGTTAATGTAAAACCGGGTTATCATTAAATTTATGAAGGGTTTAGAATAGCATTCAATTACACTTTGAGATAAATTTGATTAAGAAACTTATACAGGTGGTCACTTAACAGGTTTCATTGTACCATGTTTAATATTGCCAGAATCATCCATTTCAACAGAAGTAAATAATCAACTTAGGTAAGAATGTATGCTCATAAAATAACAATGAACGTACTAATTTAGTGAATCGAAAAAAAAAAGCCCTTTATATTTATGTAGTAGTTACTCTAGTCATGGACAATAATGCTTCAGTATGTGATGATTGGGCAGAATCAAAATTATTAAAAAAAGAATTTGATCGAAAAAGGAAGATGACAAAACCAAAGAACTGCTGAGAAAATCTGAAAGCAAAAATATTACATTAGTTTGAAATGACTATTTTTTTTAAAATTAAAGTAAACACATATTTTACAACTTTCACCATTAGTATATTGACTGAATTGTTAAAAAAAAATATTCAATTAAGTTATTCAATTTCTAATATCCTGTGTTTGATATCACAAAATATTTACACTCTTCCTCCGAGTTTGTATTTTAAAGATTTGACTGTATTTGAAACAAAAAGCTTTAGATGAGACATAAACTGACCTCTAACAAATTTTGGACTGTATGCATAAATATTAATTACTGTATTTAAATTAACACACAATTTTTTTGTTAGTTATTTTATCATTTTTATACTGTTCAACTATGAAGTCTTCTAATTTATTTTTCTCCCTCATAGTTAGAAGAAGATCTATTTGCCCTCCCATTTCTGCTTCCTTCCACACAACCCGAAAGGTAAAATTGTCAATTCTACTTACCATTTTGATATCCAGTGTTCTCCCTAAGCATTTTTAGAAGGGCACATGCCCTTTCACAAATGTAAATGCACCCTTCTTGCTTTTTTTGTAAAAATGTCTCGCTTTTTATTTATAATAATAATAATAAAAAATGGAAGTTGTAATCACTTCAGATTACCATAACTAGTAAAAGTTATTTGTAATATAAAATATTATCGTTTCTCATATTTATTTGAGTATTTTAGATTCTGTTATGAAGGACACTAATCTAGCTAGATATGATTAATATATTAGTACCCTTCAAGACTAAAGGTGCCCTTGCTTTTGAAAAAGTGCACTTTATTTTTATTTTTAGGAAGATCTCTGATATTTGTATTATATCCTTGCATAAAAGTATGTACAGTGATTCTGCTAGATTTTAAAAATTATGAATCCTAGGGATTTGAAAACTTCTGGGTCCTTTTGTACCCTAAGTGGGTTCCAAGAAAACGATACTGGTCCATATTTTTATGCATAAAGAGTAAATAATTTGTGTTTTAATTTTTTAAATATTATTTTATAAAAATTTAATATTTTTAAAAAATTAAATCCCATATAAAAATTAAACCTTATTAAAACTTTCTAAATCTTCAGAAATTATATAATATATTTGTTGAAATTATATTTGTTGAAATTAACAAGAAAGCTAAATATTATTTATCTAAAAAAAAAAAAAAATCAAATTCGAAAATTATGTTATATGCTTTATGCCATGAAACGAAGTAAATATGACAAAATGAATGACTAATCTTCTTAGCGCTCTGGTACGATTTTAATCTACTTCCAGTATTAGAGACAATTACTCTTAACTTGATGGCATGAAAGTATTGATGTGGTAGAAATATATACGAAACACTCACTATTCCATCCTCCTCATTACATCATATTTTTCTTTTTTTCACAAGAGAATCCTGGTATACAACTTAACAATTTTCCACAAATTTCTCCCCTTTTTTGTAAAAGAAAAAAATTGCGAAACNGGTCCATATTTTTATGCATAAAGAGTAAATAATTTGTGTTTTAATTTTTTAAATATTATTTTTTAAAAATTTTATATTTTTAAAAAATTAAATCCTATATAAAAATTAAGCCTTATTAAAACTTTCTAAATCTTCAAAAATTATATATTTAAATGATTTTAAAAATTAAAGCTTGAGTAAGTCACCAAAATTTTAAAGGAAAAGAAAAGATGCAAATGATTTGTGATAATTAGCTGATGATAAATTCTCTACCTCTTTATCCATCTAATCAAATGTGCTTGTATAGCATATACATATGTTTATATTATGTGTATGGATTCTATCACTTTAAAAGCTAAAATAATGACAACATTAATGCTTTATTTTAACTAATAAAATTATTTTAATAAAGTAAAACCCTACATAAGATAAAATTTATAAAATTTTTGCAAAAAACAGATCAATGGTTTCTTGAGTTGCAGTATTTAAAATTAACTTTTCAACATCATTTGAGAGTTTATAGAAGTTTTTATAGTTTTCGATATTTCCTTGATGCAATATATTAAGTGGTTTTCTGACTTCCATTGAAGATGGCACTGATGAGTTTATTTCATCTTCTGAGTCTGATTCCTCCATTTCTTGATTGGAAATAACTTTGCAATTTTTGATGTCTGTAACAATGTCAGAATCAGATTTTTCTCCTGATGTTTGCAGGTTATCGTCAATAGCTACGTAACATGAAAAATTCTCTTCCATTTCATTTTCTTCATCGCTGAGCATTTCTTTGAAATAGTTATCAGCTCCATCGCCATTGCTTAATCCTCACTTTTTAAAACAATTTGATATTGTTTGGGTTGAAACAATGTCCCATGAGTTACGAATCAAATGCGTTGATTCCAAAATAGTAAGGGATTTCGATAGTTTGTTTGCAGTTAAGAGTTCCGAAGAGCTGTCACAGTCTATGTCACTAATGATTTTTTGAACAACCATTTTTCTGTGATGAAACTTGAATGATCTTATGATTCCCTGATCAAGGGGTTGAATAATAGCTGTAGTGTTGGTGGCAAAAACACTAATTTAATGATTTTCAAACACAAGTCCTCATCAGCAGGGTGCTCACAACAATTGTCTATAAGTAAGACGACCTTTTCATTTTTCAGCTCCTTGTCCCATTCAAGAAGAAATTTTGTAAAGATGCTGGATGTCATCCATGCGTTATAGCTGTTGGCATAACTGGTGGGCAGGTGCTTTACTCCTTTAAAACATCGAGGTTTTAAACTCTTTCCTATCACTAAAGTTCCTATCAGTTCCTGTCATGTTGCATGTTAGCAGCACGGTTAGTCTTTTCTTTATTTTTTTACATCCACCAGTTGATTCATTTTTAAACAGCAGTGTGTGTTCAGGAAGTGCTCGGAAAAATAATCCTGTTTCTTCCGTGTTGAAAATTTACTCTGGTTTATAGTCTTCGATGAGTGTTGGCCACACAATGTTGAACAATGTTTTTGCAGTCTTTCCATCGGGTTAGCAACCCATCTGTAGCTTTGAAATCAGAATCACTAAATAAGTTAGCAAAGTCTTGTGCTTTGTGAAATAAAATTCCACGGAAAATTGGAATTCTTCGTTCGCGTGCATTTTTGAACCATTATAACAGAGCCATTTCAATTTCCTCCGATTTTCCTTCACGCTTACGCTTTCTTGACAGATTTCCATTCTTTTTTATTTCCTCGGAAATATTTATCCTTTGTTTCAGAATGTTGAAAAAGAGCAGTTTGGGAAATCCCTAATTTAATTGAAGCTTTATGTTGACTACATTTAGGAAGCTTATCATAGTTTTGCAACACTTCGAACTTATCTTTAAGATTCAAATCCTTCCTTTTCAGCATGCTGATAAAATTTAACACCAAACGAACTTAAAAATGATATGTGCTCTAACTCTAACTATAATTTACTCAAGCGGCTTAAATAATATGGAACATGTGCTCAGACAGCTTTTGGAAATCTATTCATGTTCTCTGTTAAGATAGATAACAAAAGAAACTTCTCTCCCTTCTATGGTTCATTCAATAAAAAGTAAAATAAGAATTTGCCCCCTGTTGAGTGTGATAGGTTTCTCTAAACTTCATTCAAGTCAAGGAATTGACATTGATAAATTGATTTCTATGAACTTGCTGCTTACCACCCACATTTTCCCTTAACTCTTACAGTGTATATATCGCAGGAAAGTGCTAACCACACCTGTTTTACAGGTTTGTGAGTAACTGTTGCTTCGTTTAAAAAAATCTTTAAACTTCGAAAAAATAAAATTTTATAAATAAGAACAAAAAAAGCTGAAATATTGCACTTTTGATTTATTATGTAGTCAAAATTTTGATTTTAAAAAGCAGCGGCATTGATTTTATTAAATGATGTTTTTAACATGTATTAATATTGTAACAATTTGGTTCTTGCCGATTTGATTTTATAAAGCGGCCGATTTTATTATCCGGTGATTTTATTAGCCGCGGGCACTGTACAAACTTTTTAATCAAACATCTGCACTAAAGAAGGGTAAGAATGTTATTTTATGCTTGCATAATTTTTTTATTTTTCTGATGTTAATATAGAAGCAAAAAATTTTTTCTTTTCAACATATGGTTAATTTTTGCACAAAACAAAGTTATGATGCTGGTTACTTTTTTGTGTGTGTGTGGTGTAAAATTACATCTCGTAGGGAACATGGCATCGTTCTGCCCCATCTACACATTTTGGTGCATTGGTTGCATTATTGTACATAAGCGGAATTATTGCATGCATATATATTTGAATGGAATTTTGTCACGAAACTTCATTCAATTACTATCTCTTTGCTTCTCAAACAAAATTCACCACAGTCATTTTTACTGGTTTTCTTTTGGTTTATTATAATGCAGTATTTTTATGTAGTATCATTTGGCTTCATATCCACTCTTATTTATGTATATAAAAGAAAATAATTATCAAAGTTTATTATCCTCTATAATGTAGTCAAAGTAAATAATCAGCATTTTATACCATTAGTTCAAGATTCATATGACTCAGGAAAAACCTTAGACCCTTAGGTGCTTAAAATTAGCTTAATTTTATTTCCCACTAAAAATTACAGGGCAGATTATAAAGTGTTGCTTTTGGCCAGGTTGCATTTTTTAACAGAAGCCACTTTTCAAAACATGGCCACTTTTTTAAAAATTTAAAATCTGTTATTAATAATGTAAAGTATTTCTTTTGAATATTTTCTCAAAGTATTGCAAACATTACAAACTTCATTTCTAAAAATAAAGAAACTTTTAAAAAACAAACTTGAAATAAAGTAATTTTCTGAATATTATCAAATGTTCATAATAATTTCATATTTATTAAAAAACATTACAATATAATAGAAATAGGGTGTATTTTTGATAGCTTTAAAACTAACAGTGTAGCTTTTATTTTTTCTGAAAATCATTTCATACACGCTAATAAGAAATTTACAAAAGTGAATGACTGAAGGGTTCACAATTGGGAATTTTGACAACTTAATTTTAGGGAGAAGAAATATTGCTCAAACAATGGAAATAAGAAAGGAGGGATGAGAAGCAGATTTTTTCTGCTTGTCTTTCAGGGCTCAAAGTTGTCATTAAATTCCTTTAAAAAAAGAAAGTGTCCTTAATTATGAAACATTTCAATAAATGTCCTGAAATTTTTATGATTTTTCAAATTTTTGTTGAAATTAACAAGAAGAAAAAATATTATTTATCTGAAATTTAAAAGTTATGTTATATGCTTTATGCCATGAAACGAAGTAAATAACAAAATGAATGACTAATCTTCTTAGCGCTCTGGTACGATTTTAATCTACTTGCAGTATTAGAGACAATTACTCTTAACTTGATGGCATAAAAGTATTGATGTGGTAGAAATATATACGAAACGCTCACTATTCCCTCCTCCTCCTCATTACATCATATTTTTCTTTTTTTCACAAGAGAATCCTGGTATTTTGCTGCAACTTAACAATTTTCCACAAATTTCTCCCCTTTTTTGTAAAAGAAAAAAATTGCGAAACTTTTATAAAAAAAATTTATCCTTATGTTTAGAGGCAATATTGTCCTTGATTTTTATATTTTGGTATTTTGCTGCAACTTAACAATTTTCCACAAATTTCTCCCCTTTTTTGTAAAAGAAAAAAATTGTGAAACTTTTATAAAAAAAATTTATCCTTATGTTTAGAGGCAATATTGTCCTTGATTTTTATATTTTGGTATTTTGCTGCAACTTAACAATTTTCCACAAATTTCTCCCCTTTTTTGTAAAAGAAAAAAATTGTGAAACTTTCATAAAAAAAAAAAATTATCCTTATGTTTGGAGGCAATATTGTCCTTGATTTTTATATTTTGGACTGCCATCCCTGTATTTTGATTCTTCAGGTTTGGAATTCATTTATCCATTATTTTATGTTGGGGGGTGATAAGGGAAAGGGGAAAAATTATTTTGTCAGTAGGTGGAAAACCTACTTTTTTTCATAAGCAGTTTGTATTCCAAACAAATACAATAGTTTAATTCCCTTTTCAAAAATTAGTTTAAACAGCAATGAATTACCCAACATAAGGACAATTTGGTAATAATAAATTAAATATCTTGTTTATGCAGGCTGGCCATTTTTCTGCAGATCCTCTAAATTCCTTTTTTCCATTCGATTTACACCATAAACTAAATTCTAAAATTTCGAAAATTTGATGCGTGAAACATTGGGACCATCAACAAATTGTACAAAAGTAATTGAAATATCTCATCAATTCTGCTCATTCTGTTTCTGAATTTTTATGACTCTTGAACAGTGTTATACAAAAGTTAAAAGTTAATAAGGGTGAATTGGGGGTCATATACTTATTATTTTTAGTGGAAAAAAATCAAATCTTGTATAATGGATGGATGAATCTAAATTTAAATTGTTATATTTATTCAGTTTATTTAAAATTATTTTAACCCAATTATCAATGCAATATATACAGAAATATTAAAAATGTTAAACTAAGGGGTCATTAACAAATTGGTTTTTTTAGAATCATTTTCCAATTCTAAAAAGAATGTTAAATCTTAAGATTGGTTCCAATTGAGATTTTATTAGGTAAAAATATTTTAAAACAGCTGACAGAATAGTCCTATAATTTATAGTGAATTATCAATATTTTATTTAATATTGTAATCTTTATAAATTGTAATTTTTATTGTAGTATAATTCGTATCTGATTGTGGTTAAGCTGAATTATTTATTGTCACAGAATCTAACTTTTGATTCTTAACATTATGTAGCGTTGACCCTTTAGAGCGTGATTCAACAACCCTTCAGTACGATATAGAGAAGCCTATCTTGGCTGAAGAACCTGTTGAGCAACAACGAGATACTTCATTGTTGCAAACGCCTGGGTCACCTCCTGAACAAATGGTATTACTTTTTCTTATAAATTTTTACTTCCTTTGTTAATTTTTACTTTTGTTGACTGTCATCTAGTACCAAATTAGGAAATTTGGCTACTGACCAGTGACCGCTTTTTCAAAATTTGAAGATTTTATTAAATGTGGTAAGCATTAGAAGGTTAAAAAAAATGGAAGAAATCAGCATAAAATCATTTATTCAGTCATTTCACAATCGTTTTTCTCCAATAACAAACTTTGTTATTTACCTTTGAGTATCTGGCAATAAGTTCGTTTGTTTGCATTGGATTTTTACCAATTGTCAATCAAAACATAAATATATTTCTTTTTTCAGAATCATTTGTTGCGGGTGTCAGTTTGGCAACTAGAAAATGAACTGTATATATATAAAAAAAACAGTTCAAAAACATAGCAGATGTTATGTTAGGTATCCTATGCATTTTGCTTAGGAATGCAGAGCGCAAGAGAATTTTCTCTCAAGTTTAAAAAATTCGCTCTGCATTTCACTCATCAATTTCTGATGAAAATCTTGAAAGCTTGCTTTCAATAGAAAGTAATTTCCCCTACTAACTGTTATGAACACAACTTAGATAAAAATTTCCCATACAAAATCAAATCAGCTCCTAAAGTTTGAAATATGAATATGTAAAAATTCTGTAAAATAAAGAAAATTATTTTGATGTTGAGTTTAAGTAATTATGAATAATGGTTTGAAAACCTTTTTTAGATTTTATTTACATATTTTTTACTTCGCTAAATGTAAGTCCTTATATTCATTTCCTTCTTTAAATTTCCCTTTTTGACTTGCATGATGTATAAAAACTGTACATGCAGCCCAAAAAAATGTCGCTAGTAAAATCTCTGTTATTTTATTTCTCCAATGTTGACTGGCATGTAAACAAATGAGATGAAAATATAGGAGAAAGATGCTACAAACAGAGCAGTCGTCATCGGCTTCTGCTTAGAGGAAGACGACTGATGAGGAGGGCGGAAAAAAACTTAGCAGTTCTTTTAGATCGGTATTTTTTTTCTGGAAAGGGTTAATTTAATTTCAGGAACATTAATTTTGGCAAGATTTGTGAAGGGTCTGTTTGTATGATAAAGTATTTTAGGAAAGTGCTGTTTGTGGGTCCAAATTTCTCTCATTAAAATGTTTAATTGTTTATAAAATCCACTAAGCTCAAAAATTTAGAAAAACGTTATTGGATATTGATTAATTCTGAGAAATTTAAAAATTAACAAAGGCAGAAATTTGAAAAATAAATAAGATGACAGTACAAAATTTATCAAAGGGAAAACTTTTGGCCTGATAATATTCCACCAGGCAGGGATGTGATTCTTCTGCGGATTCGCGGATTTCCGCTTTTTCTCAGATTTTTCCATTTTCCCCGGCTAATTTTCGTGGAATTTTTTTTCTCGAACAAGTTAAAATATTTTATGAGGAATTCAATTTTCCGCGAAGCGAAAGTATTGAAGTCCTCATTCCTCCCTCTGAAGTTTCTCTAAAAATCATTTCCTTGGGATAAAACTGGTTGACTTTTATACAGGGATGAGATTTTTCGTTTTAGCCTCTCGAATTTTATCCTTTTTATCAAAAACTCCGATCGAAAGTTTCGTTTTTTTTAGATAAATATCCCCCTTTTTTTTTTTTTTTTTTGAAAATTCAGTCTTTGAAATAAAATAATGAAATTTATTTACGATTTTCAAAGATAAACAGAAAATTCAAACTATGTCCTAGCTGCTAACCCTTCCGTATTTTTACTTATTTTAGCTATTTTCTCCGCTTTTACACACAGAAAATAAGATTTTTTGTATTTTTATTCGTCCGCCGGATAGCTCGTATTTTCGCAATTCAGACGTCGTGACCCTGTTGTCTGGCGTAAAAGCAAACGAAAAAAAAAAATATAGACGTGGATTTGCGGTGAAAATATTTATTTGCTCATTCAATTAATCTTGAAAATTTCTATTTATTAGATGTAAACAAAAACAATACAAAAAGCCTTTTAGAAATCCCAAGTCCAGACTCTGCAAATATCTCGATTGTTATTCACGCGATTTTAATATCAATCATCGATTTTCGTATTTACCTGATTTAAAAGTTGCGCATTGCGATTCTTATTTACGCTATTTAAGCATCGTGCATTATGATTCTTATTTACGAGATTTAAAAATCCAATATCGCGTTTTGTATTTATGCATTTTTAAAATCGCGATTTTATTATCAAACATCGATTTTCGTATTTTCCGGATTTGAAAGTTGAACGTTGCGATTCTTATTCAGCCGATTTAAATATCGTACATTGCGATTCTTATTTGCGAGATTTAAAAATCCAATATAGCGATTTGTATTTATGTGCTTTTAAAACCCTATGTAGCGATTCGTATTCACGCGAGCTTAAAATCCAATGTCGTGATTTGCTATTGCTGTTGTAATATAAAACATCGATTTTCATAACTATACATGCTTTAATAATTCGACATTGTGATTTGTATTCACGCGATTTAAAAATTATGCATCGTGATTCGTATTTATGTGATCTAAAAATTACGCACCATGATTTGTATTTTCGCATTTTTTAAAATTCGATATAGAGTTTCATATTCACGTGATTTAAAAGCCTCATATCGGGATTCATATTCATACAATCGTAAAATTAATCACCGGGATTTATAATCACATGGCTTACAAGTTTAAAAAATCACACTTTTTTCGTCAAATTTTCGTGTTTATATATTCTTTCATTCTTGGATTTCCTCTTTTTTACTTTCTGACTACTCTCAATCCTGACCAGGGTATGTGCTTCACACTTGTTTTGCAATCGACTTGGTAGATGTAGAAATTTTAAAAGTTAAATTGCTGTTTTTTTCATTAAAATAATTAAAAATTTTAAACTTCTATGAGGTGGGCAAAACTTTACTGAAAAGTACTTATTGTTTTTGCTTAATTGATTTAAATAATGTAGAGTTTGTCTGATCTGGAGTAAAATTCATCTATTCCACTGCACCATCATATCCGCTCTCCCATGTCTGTGATGTATGCGTATGGTGTGTTTCCATTACGTTGCCATTTGTCTGTGGTACTTCCCTTTAAGCATACCATAAGTTTATGGTGTCCCGCCATATAAATATCATCCATACATATTCCTATTGTTACCATATGCTAATGGTGCATTGCCACACGAATTTCTTAAGTAATCAAAGATTACAATATGTGTACCTTTCAAATGGGTAGTTGAGAAGGAAAAAAAGAATGTTAACTTTAAAGTGCCCTATATCATGACTCACAAAAAGTCTGCTCCAGTTGTCAAGCAGAAACAATCTTATCTCTTCAGAAAAATTGGTCGACTTATCCTGCAATAAATTGATTGGAGTTTCAGTTTCTTGAGTTTCTCTGTTTAATGAATTTATGCCTGTCTAATAGAAGATCAGACCACATGTTTACATAAACTATTTTAAAGACACAAAGTAAAAGTTTGTGTTTTCAAAAGTGTGTGTCATATAGAATTAGTATAACAAACAGCAGCAGATGGGTTTACAGTATAAAAAAGGCTGACAAAAACAGAATAAAAAGGTAAAAAGGAAATATTTTTTTGACACTTTTTCTCCTGTTGTAAGTTTTTCACTCATAAGATTTCTCTTCATTTTGTTAGTTTGTATTAAGTTGAAAATATTTACAATTAGACCTAAAAAGTACATATTTATATGGTAATTTAAGTGAAACTCGATATATGCATCAGTCAGAAGGTTTTGAAGTTCATGGTAAATTTAGGTGTTAACTTTGAAATTTTGCATCAAATAACCTACATTTAGAAGTTAATTAGGAAATTTGAAGATAACCACCTAAAGCAAATGAACAGATTAAAGGAAACCTCATCTTATTGGATGAACAGAAGTAGACCAGGCAAAGCATTCTCAGTTAATCATAATATTGCATTGGTTATTCTTTTAACACTGTGTTTAATACAAAGAACCTAAGGAATAATTTGACAACTGTAAACAATTGGAATTTAGTTCTGGTGTCATTTAATTAACAGATCATCCCATTTATTTTGCTGGTATACCCTGGAAATCTAGTAAGCAAAAGTGTGGTTCCACGGTGTCTAAATTTATATCTTGTTAAGGAAACTATTTGGTTTTCAGGAGCGTAAAATGAATTGGGAGTAGTGCCAACCCAATTTTGTGCAATCTATTTTTCTAAAAACTCAGTAGACAAAACACATTGATGTATAATATCAACTTATTAGAAGGGAATTTATTAAAATTGAAACACATTGGTAGTAAAGACAACTTTTCTCCCAAAACCTTTAAGTAAAGAAAAAATATTGTTAAAGTTAATAATGGGGCCGTATATGTGGAGAAATAAACTTATTTCCCATAAACTTTAGTTTCTTATAGATTGGAGAACGCCTGTTTGGTTAAAATAAATGTTGTTTCTCAGTAGTGACTATGAATATGTCTTTGTTTTTCTTTTGTGGGTGACTCTCTGTGTATCAACTGATAACGAATGGTACTTGCTGTATTTGCTGATGTCAACATTATTTATTTTTTGTCATTTAAAAGGATTAAATAAATTACTATTTCATAGTTATTGGTGAAATGTATTTTTATCACATAGCTCTGCTAAAATGTGGTTTGGTACTCACAAAAAGATTCTGAAAAAAAAAAATTTCTGTCTTTGAGTTTTTTTTTATTAACATTGTTTTTAAATGTGAGATTTTGAGAAATAGTTGAATAGATTTTTTAAAATTTGCATTGAATCAGGAAAGATGAAAAATAATAATAAAATTGCATGAATTAGATCTAGAAGATCTTAGAGAATTGATATTGGAATACATGGGAACAAATTAATTTGAGGAAAGGATAGGTGTAGAAAAATTAGTTTTAAATCTAAAACTAAATTTTAGAAGAAAAAGAAATCCTTCTTTATAAAGTCATGGTCATGTAAAATAATTTCTTTTTGTTACCTTCCATACAAAGCACACTTATTATTGTTTCTAATGAATAAATGTGCTCAAAATTTAAAAACTTCATAATTTTATCTTTACTTAAAAATAATCTAAAAGTGGAAGCATTTGATGAAGGAAAAGTAGTTTTTGATAGCTTAATCAAGTTTTTACAATGGACCCAGAATTTTATTGTCGAAAATAATTATTAGCTATTGTAAACATGAAGTAATTTATAAATAAAAGTATAAAATTACAAGTGATCAATCTACTATATTCTTAATCATTTTGACGTTAAACTCTTTTTTAAAGTTTTTATTATTTTGACAATTACTTTTAAAAATCTCAAATTTTGATGTAGAAATTCATAATCTATTATAAATATTTAATAATTATAAATAAAAATGCGTAAAATTACAATTTATTTAATCTGTTAACTTCTGTAGTTGAATTTGGATCACTGGTTGCTTGCATAATTAAATTATAACCAGTAAAAAATTTGAATACTAAAGTTTGTCTTATAAATAAGCAAGCATTATATCTTATTAAAGTTTAATACATAGTTAAGAAAAATAATAATATTATTATTATTTTAATAACGGCAGGCACTGAACTTTCGTTCGTCGCTTTCGAAGATGCCAGGAGTGTTGTTATTTATCGTTACTCAGTGGGCACCTGTGAACCAAAGACACGGAGGCGAGCAACATTAGCCACGCCACACTGTTACAAATACCCATTCATAGGGTGGGCCACATTCGTACATTCACTCATCAGAAGACAACAGAGAGAGAAACATCCATGCCCAGAGCGGGATTCGAACCGGCAGTCATTGGCTTCCCAGTCAGGCACGCTAACCACTCGGCCACCTGGCCAGCAGAGAAATAATATAAAAGTTTACATACTAAAATTAACATGTTTAGGAGATTTATTCTAATAACTGTATTAAATATTGATAGTAACTTAATTAAAGCTTTAAATTGAAAAAAATATTAATTGATTTTAACAAAAATTCATTTTTTGGTATTTCATGATTAGTTTACTTATCAGGGAATATATTATAATCATGTTTTGTAATTTTCGCATATATATACGATTATTGGCTAAAAAATCTGCCTAAATCTTGACATAAAAGAATTAAAATCAATATTTAGATTGATAACAATTAGCAACTCATAGCTATTATCTGCAATATAAACTGAACTGTTGTAATATATAAAATAATAATGATATTTAATATATTACATATGATGAATAATGATATTTAATGTATTAATATAAATAGTTCCATGTTTTTTGTCAAAGCAGTTAATAGTTTCAATAATTTTTTATAAGTGATATATGACTCATAATTGTAATTGTTATAATAATTCAAGAATTGCACATGATTTGAACAGCTATGTAGCTTGACTTTGAATTAATCCAATGGCAATAAAAAAACTTGCCTAGGTTTTTGACAATTTTTATCAGATTGAGATTGAAAATCTAACCTTAATTGGTTAAATGTCTTGTAATTTCACGATAAGTCTCTCATTATATTTAATTTTTTCTTACTTGAAGGATGGTTTTGTTCTTCCACCCGCTGTTCCTGATGATGGTAGAAGACGTAAACGAAAACGCCAGTTGGTTGTGGATGCAGTCACTAGTTTGACCGGTGACCAGATAAAAAAGAACATTTTATCTGCCAATAAGAATTTGACTACACCTTTGGTAATTTCGTTATTTCTAAATGTACTTACTGCTCAATGTATTATGTTTTAAGTATCAAAAGATTTTATACATAGATGAACAATTTCTGATTTAATTTCTTTCTTCAAATGACTCAAATACAATGTAAACAAACTGCTTTATAGGAAAAAGCTACCAAATATAATAATAAATTGAAAAGTTAGTGTCACTCTCTAATTACTTCAGAATAGTTTGTATTATTATCTTGAAATTTAGACAAGGACTGCAAGAGAAAATTTTAGATCTGATACTAAAAATCGCTCAAAAATGTTGACTGGTTTGTTCGGAAGGAACTTAAAATTTTTTTTTTCCCTCATAGGTTTATCATTGTGATAAATTCTACTTTAAATGATTCTGTTTTTTCTGACATTTAAAAGATAATATCAATGACGTTAAAAGTCATCCACACTATTTAAAAATCACACATTGCAATTTGTTTTCTTTCAAATTAAAAAATACTGATCACGATTCGTATTTACACTATTTAAAAGCCACATATTACGATTCACATTTAGGTTATTTAAAAATCACACATCGATTCGTATTCACAAAATTTAAGAATTAAAAACAATGATTATTAATTTTGGTAATTGGTACTACTAGTATTGTGATAATAGATGTAAAAAAATCAGTCCTGATCTGTCCAAGATCCCAAAAAATGATCCCCTTAAGCATTATTGTTCTTCATATCTTGGTCACTTGAACAGTATCTTGTGAGAAACCTCATCTTGGTGAGGAATAAGTTTTCCTTTATGTTTTTTTTAATGAAATAAAGTTGTTGTTTAAATCTATTTATAGGTCAAACCAAGTACTCTGGAGTCTGCTAAGTCTTTGATGACCAGATTGGGATCAGGTAATGCTATGCATTGAGCTCAACCGTAGCCACCGAGAAATAAAGCCGTTGAGATCACCGAGGTCTTTTAGTGACGTCACTAGCAGTAGTGTTTAGCTGATAAGCCTCCAATTTAAAATATTTGTCATTCATTGAACGACAGCTTCGTTTATCTGTCGGATACGTGATTCATTATATACCTTTATTATAAATATATATACCATCATTATACAAATTTTAACAATGCCATAGGCATGTGCAGTCCCAAAATGAAAAAGTAATTACAAAAATGGGCTTAAAGTCTTATTTTTAAAGTTTCCCAAAAGTGAGGAAATGAAAAGATATTGGATTAGTTGATTAATTCCATTAACTGAGACAGTTATCAAATAACTGTTAATAGTCAAGTAAGTGTTATCTCTTATATTTTAATGTTCGTTTTTGCAGAATGAAAGCAGTATTTAAAAATTACAATGTTTTGGGTATTGTTTATTGTTAGCAAATATTATAATATAAAACTAGCAAAGCATTCGGACCAATTAGTGATCAATTAGTGAAATGTATTTTATTGAGTAACATGGAAAATGATTTTAAATTAATTTTTAATATAATTTTTTTAAAAAAAGTTACAATTTAACAAAAACAAATTTGTAGAAAATTTTAAATGCAGTTTATAAAAAATATTCAATATTTTCTTGTCTTTTACCGTTGCTTAACTTTTTAATTATTGAACAATTTCTGCCCAGAATATTATACTAATAATGTTCTTGAAGAATCTCTATTTTGTGATTTGATGAATTTTATGAATGTGCCAATAAAATTCTAATTTCTTTATTTCTCTCTTTTCTGCCATGATATAACATTTTTATTTGTCTTGTATTTGTTTCCTTATTAAAATGTATAATTTCTTATTTTAAAATATATGATTAAATCCAATATTTGATTATATATTAAAAAATAATAAATTATGCACTTAAATGAGGTTAATTCTTTTGATTGTAAAAATAGTTTATAATGAATCAAGATTTAAAATTAAAAGAAAAAAAAATATTTTAAAATCATTTTCAATATTATGAAATACACATAATATTGCTTCATGAAAAGCATCAAACAGTTCACCTTTTCATCTTGTTGAGTTATAACTTGATAAATAACATTCATTTGTTCTAATAAAAAGCTAAAAATTCACTTCGTATTATTCCTGAAATACACATAATATTGCTTCATGTAAAGCATCAAATAGTTCACATGTTAATTTTGTTGAGTTATAACTTGATAAATAACATTCATTTGTTCTAATAAAAAGCTAAAAAGTCACTTCCTATTATTCCTGAAATGCACATAATATTGCTTCTTGAAAAGCATCAAACAGTCCACATGTTCATTTTGTTGAGTTATAACTTGATAAATAACATTAATTTGTTCTAATAAAAAGCTAAAAATTCCCCACTTAAAATTATTTTAAGCTAAAGTAAAAATATTTTACGTCACTTAAAAGTTATTATAGTTTTCTCTTAATACAAATCTGAATACCAGATTCGCTTATGGTTCGCTGGCAGTTGCGAGGATGACGTCACAATCCTACTGTGAGGCCTTGACTCTCGGTGGCTATGACTCAACAAAATATATATTGATAAATATGGTTGCATTTAATTGTTTTAGAAATCTTAAAATAATACTGTTTCAGATTATCTCTAATTATGGCTGACAAGTACTTTAATTATTCAATTATTAATTAATTAATCTATTGTTTAATAGTTTAATTATAAATTACACTCTCAACTAATAACTTAATCATTCCATTTAAAATCCCATTGTATAACATTTATTTTTCGCTACATTGTATAGTGGGAAAAAAACAAACAAAATGGACCATCCTGAATAAATTTTGATCTAATGATCAGATCTTCACGTTCTAGGAGTCATCCTAAATGGTTTGAGAGGGTGACTTCAAATATGCTAATTAATAAGTGCAGACGGTATTTTAAGTTACGAAATGAGACCCCAAATAATACTTTCTCAGAATAAACAAACTTTTTTTTCTCCTAAGGATTTGTTTTTCTTACTCACAAAATATAGGGGGTAGCCGCAATCTGGGAAATGTGGTCCTCATAGTTTAGGCACCTTAGTGCTAATTTTACTTTTTTCATATGTCGCCGTATCTTAAAAACTGTTTGAAAAACTTTTGCACTCAATTATAAAATTCTTTTATCCAAAGATAAATCCGAACAAGCAATAACTTTTAAAAAATACTTGTTATATTTTGAATTGTAAGGGATAGAATTTTTTTCATCATTTTATAGAATGTGATTTTACATGGCAAAATACAAAATTTGAACAAAATCGGTTGATTGAAAAATTGAATTTCAGGTATTTCAAATTCGATTTCTCAGGAACTATTTGACCGAATTTGCTTAAATTTTGTATTTTGCCTTGTAAAATTATATTCTTTAAAATTATGCAAAAAATTGTGTACCTTACATTAGAAATTTTTTTTGGCTATTATGAAATAAAATAATAAAAAATAGTAAATATTTACTAAAAGTTATATTTTGCATGGAATTATCTTTGAATAAATGAATTTAATAATTGTGTGCTATATTTTTGTAATTAGGTTAAAAAGTTCTCGATATAGCGAAATATCCTAAAAAGTAAAATTAACATTAAGGAATCCAAGCTTTGGAGTGCTCTCCTATTGGGACCCTATTTCCCTGATTGCGACTACCTCCTATATTTCGGAGGTCAGAAATCCGAGTCCGTTGAATTAAAGGTATTCAGAGAAAGTACATTTTTGTGTGTGATTTCGTAACTTAAAATATAGTTTGCACCAATAAATTAGCTTATTTAAGGTCACCCCCTTGAGCCTTGAAGATAGAGCCATTAAGATCCGATCATTAGATCAAACTTTTTTCAGGGTGGTCCTTTTATTTGCGCAATATATATTGAATTAGCTTTTAAATTATTGCTGTACTGTAATTTGTTTCTAAAAAGTGACTTATTTTGTATTCTACAATATAATTAAAAAAGGAAATATAAAAAATGTACTATTGCATCTTTTACTGAAAAGGAAAAACCATTTTTTTTATTGCTATATTTTTTTTGGCCTTTTAAGTTAAAATTATTTTATTACTTTTTGAGTGACCAATGTTCACATACCTTTGGATCACTTATGTCATGGATTTTGCCGGAACTAGGAATATAATGGATATTCGGCCACTATTCAGTATTTGGCTCTTTTGCCGAATTTCGGTTGGCCGGTCGAATGTTCAAACAAACATTCAACAAATTTTTTTTTTATTTGAATATGTTTTATGAAGAAAAATCTAAAGTGGTGTTTTTATCTATAGAGTTACTAGAAATAGTTTTTACTCTCTCATTTTTTAAATTCTAAAACTTGCACACGGCTTGCATTTTTCTGCTCTGAAAGATATATGGAAAAGCAAGAAAAATTAAAACTAGTTTACTTTATGCTGAACCATAAGTTTTGTACTGCTAATTTTTTAAAATTACTATCAGGCTAGTCAATTTCATTGTGGTTTGGACACTTTCTGTTTTAAGGCTGTTTTTCGAAGGATCCTCCTGATATGAAATGATGCTTTTTTGCTAAAAATATGCTATTTTTATAACTGCTGTGAATTTGCAACTGTTATTCATGACTGTTAAGTCAATCCAAGACTATTTAAAGCAAGTGCTGTTTACGCTTATTTTGAAAATGGCGCAAAATGTCAATATGGAAAAAGGCCACTGTTTCGTGAGAATGAAAAGCGTTTGTGGTCTAATGTTTTAATATTTAAAAACTTACTCCAATGCTGCATAACCTGGGCTCATAAAAATTTGCAAAAACTGAGAATACAGCTGTAATTTTGATTATTTTTATCTCAGTGGAAAAATGTTGCCAAATTAACGCTTTAATAATTGTTTGCCTGTTCTAAAGCTCAGATAATTCTACACAGCAAAATTATGTATATATAGTTTAATATCATTGCATTGCTTCAAGTGTAAGCCACCTAAACTGTGGCTTTTTTATTTTCTTTGGCGACAGAGCTTGGAAAAACAGCCGTAATTGAGAAACTTTTTTTCTTCTTTTTGTTTTGTTTTTGTTTTTTTCCATTTAGCTTTTTTTTTAAAAAAAAAAGAAAAAAAAACTTTTTATCAGCCTTTTTATTATGATGGGGCAATTAAAATTATTTCTATTGGACTTTTGTTCTTTTTTTAAATTTTTTCTTGAAAATGCAGTGATTTAAAAACTTAAATGTTCAGCTTTAAAATTTTCTTTTGAGAATCAAGATAGATTTTTATTTTTTCTGTTTCCAAGAACGTTACTGATAGACTACATTTCTTTTAACGTTTTATGGATTTTTTTTCTGAAAGTATTATTTTTAGCATTTAAGTTTTGTTTTAAAAATTCGGATAAGTTTTTTTCTATTTCTTTTTTTCAGTGTGGCAATTTTAGTTTTTTCTTTTTTTTTTGTTGATAGTTGTTAGTCTGTTCTTGATTTATCTTAAATATTTCTTATGCATAACTATTATAGTTTTTCGCTCTGTACCCAATAATATTTTGGTTAGTTTTGACTATTTTTCAAATGCATGAAAAATAATATTTACGTATTTGTTTTTTGTTTTTTTTGTTGAAAAAAAATCTTGTAATTCCGCTGAATATTCGACTGTTTATTTAAATCACTATCCGTCACATCCTTAGTCAGAACCACACATAATGTAAATCAACTCCTTTGTTTTATTTTGTATTTCATTTCCAATATTAATAATTGGACTTATTGCCTTATTTTGTTGTTGTTTCTCTGCCATTACAACATTTAACTGACGCGCACTCACCCCGTGTGGTTAAATGTAGATGCTGAATAACAATAGGTATAATTTGAAAGTCATGAATTACTTTTACAAAGTCATAACACTTTTAAAAAAGGCATGTCATTGAAGAGCAACAGATCCTTCAAAAAGCAGTCTTTAAACAAGTATTCTCCTTTAAGACTTTCAGAAAATTGTTTAGCAGTGAATATTAGAAGATAAAAAATATTAAGAAAATTAGTACAACCACCTCCCTCACATTGATTTTTCTCCTCAGTACATAATTTTAATACACTCGTGATGCAAATTCCGCAGCTTTATTTGCAAAAAGCAGAAATTGAATTAAATTAAATTTTAAAGGAATTTCATTTAGAATGATCAAAAATAACCTTAAAAAGAATACTGAATATGTTATTCTATTAAACTGGTATGTACATAAGAATTATTTTTCAAACAGAACAAATTTATTTTTGTGCAATTTCTTTTCTACTTAGGTTCCTTGGTTCCTAAACTGATTCTTGGACGATTTAAAAGATTGAAAACGTTGCCACAACTGGAAGAAGATGAAGTTTCTGGAGGTAATAAGTGTTGAAATATTATTTGCTATTACAGTTGACAAGTAGCGCTTCTCACTCCTGTGCCACAGTCTGTGGGCTCTGTTTTGGGTCTAAACAGGATTGACTCTTCCATCATGGGATACAAGGCATTTCATTTTTTCAGTGGGTCAATAAAATGAGTACCAAGGATGCTTGGCGAATAAATACTGGGGAAGGCGAGGGATGGGAGTCCTGTGATTGGCTGATCACCCGACCTTAACATCTGCTACTCCACCCCAGAGCCCATGATCAAGAAAGCTAGGATGGACATAGTGGGCCTTGGACTATGCCACAGTCTGTGGGCTCTGTTTTGGGTCTAAACAGGATTGACTCTTCCATCATGGGATACAAGGCCTTTCATTTTTTCAGTGGGTCAATAAAATGAGTACCAAGGATGCTTGGCGAATAAATACTGGGGAAGGCGAGGGATGGGTGTCCTGTGATTGGCTGACCACCCAACCTTAACATCTGCTACTCCACCCCAGAGCCCATGATCAAGAAAGCTAGAATGGACATAGTGGGCCTTGGCCCTCCATGGGCTGTCGCACCACTGAGAGAGTTTCCAGTTGGCACTCGATAAAACAACTTTTGTAGGCTGAGCAAAAATGGATGTGATAACATGTAGTTGTTATATTGTATGCTCATTAAAGTACTGTAAATATTAACCATACACCTAAAAAAAATGCTAGAGCAATTTTTACAAAAATTAACCGTGGTTATTATGATTTTTTTTTTTAGTGAAAACAAACTCTCCTTGTTTTTACAAGAAAAACCTGCAAAAAAAAATTTTTTTTTTTAAAGAAATTTTTTTTTATAAATAAATTAGATTTTTAAAGAAATGAAATTCGGCTTCTTTTCAAAGAACACCACAAATGTTTTATTTGCAGAAATACACACAGCCACTTTAAAAGCTTAAGTGTCTATATAAATTTTAAGTTATAGAGCATGTTTATATGAATTGAATATCTACTATATTATTCGAAATTCTATGCTTGATATTTATTCCTAATGGTTTGTTATAGAGGCACCATTAAAAACTTATTTTAATTTCTTTTAAACAATTCAACTCTATACCCTTTTTCAAGACCATTACTGAATGTGACGTATAATGCATCTACATTATGAGCATTACATTACATTAGTTCTCTACATTATGGATAAAATTGCAAAAAAAGACTAGGTGATGAAAAAACATGAAAATTAAGAAAGATTCAGTGTTTCCTAAAAAGAGGCTGAAGAATCTGTTGGAAGCCTTTGTTAATGGGATACCTGTAAGTGACGTAATGTGGGAATTCTATCCTGAGTGGTTGCTGAAACTTAGCATTTGTTTGTGTTAGCAACTGTTCTTTCCATTCTATTTCTAGTAAAACAAGTCCATCAAGTATCAATTCTCTTAAGTGACACATTCTATATTCTTTCACAATGATTCTTTCTCAAAGATTTCAATTCTTTCACTATATACTTACACAGAGACTTAACACAAAACCATATGGAGCATAAACAAACTAATTATGCATCAAAGTTTCTCGGTACAAAAAACAAAAGTATATATTACAATTACAATAAAATGCATAAACTAATAATAAATCTTAAAGTTAGGTAAATGAAGTAGACAAGAAAGGATTATGTTTCAACTCATTCCATGTGGGATCTGTATTTAATTAACTTATTAATTAACTTATTAATTAACTTATGTAGAGAAACTTAGCCCAACTTCAATATGCCAGTTTGCTGATAAAGATCAGCTGGCATTGACGTCATAGGTCTTAATGTGTGGGTAGGGGAGGTCTTCTTGAAGTGCAAGTATCCTATTGAAATCAATTTTTTTAACACTAGAACAGGGAGAAAATATTGTGCACTGAAATGGCAGGAAAGGGCCATTCTAATTCAACAATTTTAAATGACGTACCATGGCAAAAATATGTCATTTTTGCGTACATTTCATAACACATATTTAATGTTACATGATAGTTTGTTGAATTTTTGAAATACTGTTGTATCAATTACTAGGCAAACAATTGGATCATACTACAACTAATTTAATAATTCACTCATTTGATATAGTTGATTTCAAGTAAATAGTATTACAAATTTAAAGTAATGCAAACTAAAATGAAACACAATTGATAAAATATTTATTATTAATATGCTCACTTGCAGAATGATTCATTCTTTCATTCCGTAAGTGAAACATATTTTCTGTGTCTGTTATATTATTATAAATGTAGCTGAAGGGGTATTATGTAAAGCATTTCATTTAAATTTTATTGAATGATTAAAATCACAAATGCATATTAGGAATTAATGCAAATCTAATTTTCAAAAATTTTTCTAGTATATTTTTCGCATATAACTGAATGCACTATGTTCTTGTTTCCATTGCATCTCTGGATACTTTATCTCTGAAGCATCAGTAATGATTTGTGGGAAACCACAAGTACCTTTCTTCATCTAATTTTAATCTCTCCTGTTGATGGACTTTCTTGTCACCCTTTCTTAAATTATCCAGCCGCATGATATTAAAAAAATAAGTGCAGTTTATTGTCTAGAAGGAATATTTTGGACATCACGAATATCCGCACCATGCTTCAATGCTTTTGAATCGGGTAACTTTCTACAGCAAAATGTAATGAACTCAGTAGAAAAACACTTTTGTTTCTTTTGGCTTGATAGATAGTTGTCATGTTCCACTGTCCTCAATGAATAAAGCACATATTATTCAAGAATTTCTCTTCTGCCGTTCCTATAATGTGTGACTTATACAATAGTTGTAATTGTTTAGATGAGTTTCTGTTCATTTAATGACCACATTTTCAGATAAGGATTTGCTTTTCATCTTTTCCCAGTTAAAAATAAATCTATTCAAGAGGTATTTAGTTTTGACGTCAACAGATAATCAAAATTTTATTTTGAATTTATCGGATTTGTATGTTAGGCATATATTCCTGAATCTACATTTAGCGTTCGATACCAATAATTGTACATCAACTGCAATATTTTGCCCTGGCCAGTACAGTTTTCAATAAATTTATTCCACATTTCTGATGCAAGAGCAAATTTATCAGTTTGTAATCCAGTAGGTCTTGATATCTTTTCATCGAACTTCAACAATCTTTTTTCCTCTTTGAATCTATCTCTTGAGATAGTTCTTTAAAAATGTTATTCCCTGTGCCTCAGACAACACTATAAATCTAAACCTTTTTCTTCTTGAACTATACCGTCATCCAGTCTTTATATCCAAATTGCTGATGTGTTTCTGATTCTGTGCATTTCTTTATATGCAACAAGATACCATTGTCAGTGAAAAGCTTGAAAGCACTTTGTCATAAAAAACAAGAGTCTGTGCAAAAGAGTTTAGTCCTGCTATTTCTTGTAGAACATTATAAGCAGGAACATGGCCACTGTCTGAATTTTTAGAATTTACTTTATTTCAAATAAGGTTATCTAGAACTCTAAAAACAGCATAGCAAAAATCCGGATCCTTTTTTGCACATTTATTTCTGCTGTATTTTTTTTCTTCATGATTTCGTTGTCCTCTTATTCACTAATGGTGTTTTTCTGGAATTCCTCTTCAATGTTTATGGAAGTAATATCAACTTCAACGCCATCAGACTAATTTCCCCGAGATCTCCTGCAACAATTTTTTAATTTCTTTTTCAGTAAGACCTCTTTTTTTTACTTTGTAAGTCATTTTTTTTTAAAAAATTTAAAAGCAATATATCAGTAAACAATTGTGTCTATATTTTAGCATATGATTCCTAGCACAAAGGTAAGATGACACTTGACTGGGAATTTATACTGAAATACAGATTTAGAACTAAATAGAGAACTGATATATTAACTCTTAACAACTGCCGTGAGTTATCTCATAGAGTGAATTAACAGCAAAACACTACAGACAAAATAAATGTAAGATGAAAAAAAAATTATTTAAAAAATTTTATAGCTGTGATTTTTGATGTTAAATATGACATCACGGTTTTATCCATTTTTGAAACTGTCTTTGAATGTAAATTTTAAATTGTTAGTAACTTTTAGAAGAAAATTTTTTTTTCACAGTTTGATAATGTTTTTAAATTGTTTAGATGTATTGTTATGAAAAACTATTTAATGTCATGAAATTATCAAATAATAATAGTAGTAATAATAATAATAAAAAAACTTGAGCTTGAAATAACAACTTTATAGAATTGAATATTAGTATTATAGAATTTTTGAATATTAGTATTATAGAAAATAAGCATTTATCTATCATTATTTTTTAAAATTTTACCTGAAAATCCAATTGAATCTTTTACATTTTAGTTTACAAATACTTTAAATCTTCACTAGAATATATTTCATTAAAGAATCACTCAGTTCAATAGTTGAAATTAAGATAAATAATTATTTCTGTGTTTCATTTCAGAAGAAAGTGATGAACTGATCCGTCCAGTGAGAAGGCGAATTTCTGTATCAGAGTCTGTCGTAAGTAGAAGTGGTTTAATTTTAAGTGAATGACTACTAGTATAACTGTCAATTTTGTATTGAGGATGGAGCATAAAACTCATAGTATCAAAAGAAATATATGTATTAAGCATTTAATTAGATATTTTTTTCCATAAGCAGATTTTGAAACCGACTTGAAATATTCATTTTATATATATATTTAAGCCAGTAACGAGGAACATGCATACGTAGGGTAATCGCATAATCTTGATTATTTTGAATAGTTCATAACTCTTAAAAATCAAATCAGTATGTTTAAAATTGACTTGAAATTTTTAAAGTTATAACTTAAAATTAGCGTAAAACGAAACTAACTTCACATCTACATCCTGGATAAACGGAATTAGCGGAACAAAAATTTGTCATAGGATGATATTGTTTACAAAGGAGTTAATTAACTTTTACTTTACAATTAACTTTTTGATATAATGCAAAGAGAGAAGGATATGTGGTTTGAGAATTGATAATTTTTATTCAAAAATATCAATTTTGTCATTCTAAAGCGTTATAAGTAAACTGATCTATATGTAGAAAAGAGAACTGTTTCGAAATTTTTCACCTAATGGTTTCCTCCCAGATAGGAAATGGAAATATTTGAGATTTAGATTTTTAAGTTTTTTACTTGAGATGCAAATAATTCTTAATCCCTTATTTATTTATTTTTAGTTATTTTTTTCATTTTTTTAATCTTGTAACCTTTTCTCCTGAAAAACTACAAAAAAATAAATAATTATTTATTTGTAATAGTTTTTCTTATGTGTAATATTGAATTTATTAAAAGTAATAATAATAAGTATGTTAAAAATAATAAGTATGTTTAATACTTAATATGTAACAATAAGGTATTAAGTCCTTCCTTCTTTTTTAAAACCAATTTTTACAATTGATTTTTTGTTATTTACTCCTCTCACTTTTGGTCAGGAAGAATTCAAGGCCAAGTTTTCATTACAGAAAGCAAGTTTCAAGAAGAATGTGTTCTCCTAACCCTTCCTGCTTGAGGTAGTTTGTGTGGACCAACAGCAGAGTTTAGCGTTGAAATAAACATTTATTTAAATTTGTTTAAGATTGTTTAGAGGGGAAGAAAGCTTTGGAGAAATTGGTTCAACAAGTTGAGCTAAAAAAAGAGCTAGACTTATTCAGATACTTGATGAGTTTTTTAGTATAAAGTATCAAGCAAATGAAAGTATAAGTATTTTATTGCTTGTCTTAAAACAGTAGTAAAAAAGTTTAGTGAAGCGGGTCGTTAATTGGATCAGTTGTTTCGAGGCTTTCGAGCAATAAGGCATCTACCACCTGAATTCTCCGGTATAGTTCAGTTGATTTATTGTTGGAAAGATAAAAATTTTACTATTGATAAAATTGCTGAAGAACTGATAAGAGAAGAAAGCAGGTGAAAACTGATATTTGTCCGATGTTAGTGCTTTCAATATTTCTTCTATAAGTAAAGATTTTTAAGAAAGATATGGCGACAGAAAATAATCTCACTCTAAATTAATGGTAGGAAAAAAAAACAATGTCATTGGTCCATGTCATTACTGCCACAAGTATGGACATTTAGTTGGATCAATGCAGATCAAGGTGCTTTTGATTCGTTTAGTTAGTTTCAACTTCAGACTCAAAATATCTTACATTCTGTTTTAAAAGAATAAAATAAAACAAACTTAATTTTTTTCAAACACTGTTTCTTATTTCGAATTCTATTTTCTCAGCACTGAATTTTTTTAAATAAAATACTCTTTAGTACTTTTGAAACGTTTAGTTAGTTTCAATTTGGAACTTAAAATATTAGCTTACATTCTGATTTTTGTTCTAACACTGCTGTTTCTGATTTGGAATTTTTTTATTTTCTCTAGGAGCACGAGAGGGAGAAAACAAGGGATAGATCGGCATCTGGTTTTTTGAAGTCTGCCTCCATCGGAAGTATTATTATATTTATGAACTTTAAAGTGAAGTTAAGCTATTACAACTCTTTATTTATTATTTTCTCTCTTATTTATAGCTCTTGAAGCATCTAGTACTCTATCTGCTACTGCTAGGTAATTACAAAATATATTTATATCAGGGTTGCCACAGACGACTAAAATACAACTATTTGCAACTATTTTTGGCATAAGGCGACTATGGCAACTTTTTTTGCCTGAAAAGGCTGGAAACGCAACTATTTCCAGGAAAAGGAGACTATTGGGAGACTTTTCTAAACTCCTAGCAATGTTTTTTTTTTAAAGCATAATTTGAGTGGAAAATCTGAACCCCACAAGATAGTTTCTGAACACACTAAACTTTTTTTTTCCTTAAAAAATTTTGAAAATTTTGAATTGCAAATTTGAGTCTTTACTTTTTAATTGGTTCAATCTGCACACACTCCATTGTAAGTCTATTTCATTTCTCGATCGCCTTTTCAATGATTATTGCTATGAAATTCCGCATGATTTTTAAAAAATAAATAGATTTAATGCAGTATTACGATGCGTGAATTTCGAATTTGAGTAATCACTTTTCATATATATAAACATTTGCGCTTATATAAAAATCATCATATTTGCCACCAACTTGACTGAATGGATCATGGTATTTGACAATTAAGTCATTAACAAAATTTTAGTCATATTTTTGATGAATTTTTGTTCTTCGCTAGGCAACTATTTTCCTAGTTTTTGGCTACTATTTTCATGTTTTAGGCTACTATAAGCAACTATTTTGTTCAATTTTATCTGTGGCAACCCTGCATTATAAATTTTAAAAAAATGCATGATTTTCGCAATTTTCTCTGCAATACTTTTCAGAAGCTAGTTATTTTATCATGATTATGTAGTTTTGAATTTTATTGATTTTATGTTTATAAATTAAAAACTTCAAACGACAAAAAAGAAATTTATTACTGCACAGATCCTAATGATGATTTTTTTTTTTTTTTTTTTTAATGGTTGNGCAAAGTGATTAAAAATATTTTTGAGTGCTTGAAAAGTACTAAGAAATTGCTTATTTTTTGGTGAAAAACATGGCTGCGCACCCTGTTTGATATTTTTTACATGTAGAGTACAAATAGATCAAAACTGTAATTAAATGCAATATTTATTATTTTTTTATGTGAAAAATTCCAATGTAACAAAATAAGTTTGGTTAATGTTGAAATTCGTAATATTGGTTTAATGAATTTTCGTTATTGTGTAGTGATTGCTGCAGTCCCTAGGAATTCTCTAAAATGGGAGTCGACTGTGTTTACTTTTTTTTTTTTACTGATTACATTTATAGTTATTTGTTTCCCTTTCAGGCTTCATTACAGAGTATACTATGCTATTTATATGATAGAAAATACTCTGCCTTCTAAACGTGCTATTGGGACACAAACCTTAAAGGTTCCTAAAGGTTTACCGGGACAGCAAAGTATTCATTCTTACTGGTGAGTTTGAATTAAAGGTCCTCTCTTTACATAGATTCATTTTTTAAAATATTAGGTGTACAAATAAGTTTCCACCGTTTTCTATTAAAAAAAAATAGCAGTTAGTTGGGAAAAACAGTACATTATCTTTGAATCAAAGTATTCTTCATTACTAGACACTGCTATTTTCCATCTTTCTGGGAGCATTCGGATACCACTTCATCTTTTGAAGATATCCATGAATCGACTCATTCCTTGGTTTCTTCAAATGATGTAAATTTCTGCTCAGACAAGCCATCTGCTATAGACCGGAATAGGTGATAATCTGAAGGTGCAAGGTCTGGTGAACACGGCGGATGGGGTTGGACTTCCCATTGAAAAATTTCCAAATTTTAAAAAATCAATTTTCATGCAAAATCAGCTTTCAATGTATCTTGGCTTTAATTCGTATGAAACCCAACTTTCTTGCTTTGGGGTCATTTCCAATGGTTTTAAACAATGTAAAATTGCTTGCTGAGACACTTGTAATCTAAGAGCAAGTTCTTTTTGCTTTTGGGACTGATCATCTTCCAATTCCTTGTCTTTGTACAATTTCGGCCTTCCACTGTGTTCTTTGTCTTCCATGTCAAACTCACTGTTTTTAAACTTCTGAAACTGTTCACGACAACTTATCTCACTTAAAGCAGCCTTACCACATGCTTCTTCAAGCAATCAATGCCCCTCAGCTGAAAATTTCTTCAAATGAAAGAAATAAATCAAAAGTTCCCGCAAATGACGTTTATTTGGTACAAAACTTGACATTTTTGCATGAAAACAAGCACATAATGTAAATCACAAAAACCCCAAAACTCTAAGGTTATGTTGTTACTACTTACAATAAGACGTTTAACTGCAGTCAATTTCTACATAACCTACTAGTAGTACCATTGTGCAACAAATGGCGGGAATTTATTTGTACACCCAATATGTTTTTAAAATTCTTGTCAGTAATTTTTAGTTAAATTTTTAATTATTTCTCATTCCTCAGTAGAATTGTTATTGTGTCGGGGGGGAAACCTATTTCTTCTATGAAACTGGAGAATATCTGAAGAAACTTTACAAAATGGAAGAAACTAAAAATTATTTACACAATTTTTTAACGATGATTATTATGAAAAAGTTTAAATTTAAAGAAGTTAAATTTATTGTAGCAGCAGAAAGTTGAAAGTTTTTGAAATCCATTGTAAGATATAACTATTTTCAATTATTTTAGCTTTATGTAAAATTTTAAAATCTTTGTATTATTAAGTCAATTTTAGTAATAATTTTTAACAGTGTTTGATTATAAAAGTTAATATGCTATTTACAACTGTAAATTCAATATGCATTTATGTTGGTAGTGTGTATGTTTAATAAATGATTTATTAGTTAAGTAGTATTAATAAAATTTAATTTGAATATTTTAACAATATATAATTTTAAAATTAGGTTTTATTATGAATAGAATGTTAAAGAACTATAGTTATTTCAATTACTTAAGAAATTCATTAAATTTATTTTTCTCTTCAGTTGTTGAATTTTAGCTTTCACTTATTTATAAATGATATATTAAATAGCATAGAAATTAATGCTATAACTTAAACTATATTAAAATTATAAAGTGTTTAAAAAATTGTCTTGATATTAAATATTTCTTTTTTTTTTAAAAATAGTTTCTTCCATTTAGATGGAAAGAGAGTTATTTCTTACAGATCAGTTATTTCATCGTTTTTTCCACTGTGGAAGAAACTAGCCACTTCCGTATCTCAGGCTTTCTTTTCATTATACACTCAGTTTTTTAAAAAAAATAGTATTCGTAATTCAACGATGTATTCATTTTTACTCATAGTTTTTTATTAAATATTTATATTTGTCTAATTCAAAGAGATTTTCTCATGAAATTTCTGAATAGTAAAAGTGTAGTTGATATAAGTGTATCTGTAAAATTAAAAAATCAATAATTCAATAATATTATACTATCTTCAATTCTTAATTGAAGGTAAAGGTAAAATTACCTTTCCTGTATTTTCTGTGGTGATTCTTCAAGTTTAGCCGAGGGATGATGGACCACTTTTCCTTCGCTTCAGAAGATCGCTTCTCTTGAAAAAATGATGTCATTGTTAAAAATTAACATGGTCTGTCATGGAAGGAATCAACGTCTGACCATTTTTTGAAAGCATTAAATATTCAAACAAAAACGTAACAAACAAGATTAGACGACACATTAATATTGTGAAAAGGAACAGCACATACGTTTCAACATCTTAACTCGGAAGAGATCATTCAACTTTTGCTAACTTACAAAAACTGCAGTTACGGTTAAATTTTAAAGTCAAATAGTTCCTCGGAGTTTCTCGACAGTATCTTTAATTTGCTGGAAGAAAAAAAAACTGTTTTTGCTTGTCAAATATTTTTACAATTGTTTGAATTTAATTTTTTACAGTTCAAGTTAGCTGTATTTGTAATTGCATATTCTCTTTTTGATCTTTTATTTTAACTTAGGTCATTTATGCATTGTCTAGTTGGTATTAAATTAAATTTTGATTTTATTTGTATTTTAATTATTATTGTTTTATATAATAAGTTTTAACAATAATACATAGTTTTATGTATTGTAAAATGAGGGATATCAAGTTTCTTCCACTGTAGTAAAGCCTACTTCAGGAGAAATAAGTTTCTTCCTACCCAAGTGAAAGTATGAAGGAAACTCTTTTTCAAAAAGAAATATTAAATAAATTTTTCAAAATAAGTTGATAATAAAATAAATTTATCGTCAATAGTTTGCAAGTCTTTGTTTAAATTATAAGAACGGGGTGGCGACTCCACAGGAATAATAGGGAAAATACAAATACACCTAAAATGCAGGGAATTTTGATTTTTTTTCTTCTTTACAAACTGGGAAATTATAGAGAATTTTGTTCCTTATTTTCGCTTTTTAAAAAATAGTAACCTCTCAAAGTGCAATCTATGTGATATTTAAGGATATTTCAGCTGTATTAAACTGTTTAATTTACTATAGCTTTATTTGTTTTAAGTGTGTTCAGCTGTTCCTTTTTTTCTCAAAGTTTTTTCAGCAATTGTAACTAGTATAGTTTGCCTAATACAGCTCATAACAAGAGCACAGTAATTGTTTTACCTCTCTTAATGTATAGTGCATAAATATGTACAGGGAAAACACAAGGAATTTTTTTTTTCTAAATTTGAGTGGCCTCCCTTAAGAGTTTACAATTATTTTATTTTTGAAGTAAAATCTATTGATCTAGTGCCGTAAACTTTGTAAAAACCTGGGTTTTTCCAAATGGATTACCCTATTGAAACCCGGCTAGATTCTCTTTTATAAACTCTGCTTCAAGACAAAAAAATGTATTAATTTAATTAAGATCTTTTTCTTTACAGTGACTCATCCAATTCACAACTGACTTATGAGCAGCTACGAATACTGAACCATTGTATTCAACCCAATCAAGTCATAAAAATTGTAGCTTTAGCTGGTATGTTATGCTATATTTCTCATATTTTTTTAATAGGCTGTCTTATCTTTACCATTTTCAAATTAACAAGTTTTCATTATGCTATTTTCGATTAATGTGATGAAATCTAAAAGGTTTAAATATGTGTCTTGTAATGGGTAAAGGCCTGGTTTCTTAGGACAGGACGCCGTCAGCTGGAAATCAGCGCTAACCTCTGATTGGTCCATTTGTGAGCTTGATAGTTTACATCATCGAACGCTCANCATCTATTACTACTCAAAAATTCACTTCATGGAAAAGGTACAACTATATTTATTGAATATAAATCTTTAAATATAAAGTAAGAAAAACTACATTCAAATAAACTAAACATAACTCTTTAACATCACATAGCTCTTTCTAAACATAACATAAGAGAAGAAACATCCTCTAACCAAAGCAAAGATATAACTAACTTAAAACAGAAACACCCACTTCCTTCTAGCTGAGATAACAGGAAGTGACCCAACTTCCCCTAGGAAGTGACCCAACTTCCCACAGGAAGTGGCACAGCCAAGAGGAAAATACTGTTTACATTTCTATTTGTTTACATTTTCCCCAACACCGCTGACGCTCAGATAAGGCGCTTGTCCTAAGAAACCAGACCTTAACAGATTGTGGCGTAACTACCACTAAAATTATTAAACATCAATTCACTAGTATATAAAACATGCTAACTTGATTCAATCTGGAGGTACCTTTTGGAGTTGGTCTTTCCCCACATTGGTAACCCGGACTTAGATATGATCACGTCTACTTCGATGGATGGTCAGCATTGAACAGTTGACTTTGCTATTTGTGACTGCTTCGTTGTCCTCCTCGTTCTTGAAATTCAGTTCATTAAGGAGATTACAAAAATATGTTCAGGGTACTTTGAAGTTTTCAGGTTCGCCAGAGCATGAACTTCGCTACTTGAACCAAGTACGCTAATTACACCACAAGGTCAAGATTAGGACATTTTGTTATTAACAAGCGGCCAGCCTTAGCATTTTTCACTTTTGGCCAATTTTTCAAAAATAAAAATTGTTTAATGATTGAAAAGATTAATGTAAGGCATTTCTTTAAAATGCATTTCTCAAAATATGGTAAATAATACAAGGTTGAATGGTGATGGCTCAGGGGATAGAGTGTTCGCCTTCCGATGAGAAGAACCGGGTTCAAATCCCAGCAATGGCTGGTCGATACAAATTCCGCATCCGGCTTGCACCGACCACAGTGCAGGCGTAAAATATCCTCAGTGATAGACAAATTATTTGTTAGAGTCCCCTTGCCATCAGGCTAACTGTGGGAGGTTTTGTAGTTTCCCTCTCCATGTAGCGCAAATGCGGGCTAGTTCCACATTTGCTCTATTCAACATTTTCACAATTCATTCAAACTCAATGCATTTAGGCGTACCGTCAGTCCGTAGCGTATGAAAGTGCCAGTCATTTGCATGTTTGACAAAATACTTGCTGTCCGCAAGTGCGTATACTGAGGTGGGTTCAATGAGATTCTTGCACTCTCATGCGCAACTATGCTGCATTTTGCACGATATTCTCAATTTCAGGCTTCATTTTCTCCCCTCTGAAATAGAACCGAAAAATCTCTCTATCTTTTAATGGCTTCTTTTTTTCATGGCTAATGTAATCAAGAAAAGAGTTCTTTGTCAGAAACTAGTTATTTATCATGATCATGTAAATTCATTGAAAATTATTTTACGTTTTGTTACTGTATATAGTGATTTAAAAAAAAAATTTAGTGCTTAAAATGTGATTTTTTTTATGTAGAAAGATTTGGCAATGTACCCTGTAATAGGTTTATTTTCTAACAGTCTGTTATTTTTAAATTATTAGAGCATTTGTTTTCTAATTGCCATATTTTCTGTCCTGTTGATATAATATAAAAAAAAAGAGTTATATATCGCGTCATTAATTTAATGACGTGATATATAACTCTTTTTAAAAAGAAAATTATAAAAAAATACTTGCTGCAGATTAAAAATTTTATGTAGTTTAAGTACTTTTCACTCCATGATCTAACAATTTAATAAAAAATGTCATTTGTTAAAAAATGGGCTAAACACAAAATATTATTTATTTTTGATAATACTTTGTATTTATTATTTTATGTAAATTATATAAATGTAAGTTTTTATGTTAATTTTGTTAATTGCTTTTTTTTTTTTTTTTTTTTTTTTTTTTTTTTTTTTTTTTTTTTTTTTTTTTTNTTTTTTTTTTTTGTAATGTTAAGATTGATTTCTTTTGCTCTGTGATGCAACAATTTAACAAAAATATCATTAATTAAAAAAATTGCTATGCATAAAATTTTATTTAATTTTAATATTTTTTTATGTATGTGTAAGTTTTTATGAAAATCTGTAAATTACTATTTTTTTTCCAGTATTAAATTTGATACCTTTCACTCCATGGTGTAATTATTTAACAAAAATATCATTAGTTAAAAATTATTATTTTTATGTTGTACAGAAGAACCTCGATTGGTTGCAAACACCATTCATTGCTAACAATCAGTACGAAAAAATAAAGAATGTGGGTCTGCAAAAATTCTTGAACAATTATAGGAAAATGTATGGAAAGTAGGAAAATGTATGGAAAGTAATAAAGAAATAAAGATTTTGAAATTAATAAAATTTACAATAAGTGTAAAATTAAATTGAAAATAGTTATTTATTTAATGCAGAAATATGTACGTAAAAAGACTTATAAACATATTTATTTAACTTAAATATTTGGAAATTTTGGTTTGTGTTCTCTTTTCTTCTCTGCCAAAATAATATATTTTTTTTTATTTGTAAAAGATTATTGTTCATTTTCTGTAAGTTTGCATGAATGCAAAAAGTTCCTCATTTTTAAAGAAAAACTTTGAAGCTTTCCACAGTGATTATGATTCCATTTCACTATCTTCATCTGTAGCTCTTCAGCAGTTATTTTTTGCACTGATATCAGCACAAGTTTCGCCATTTTCTTCAACTGATACATAAACATCAAATGTAATGTTTGCCTGTACTGTAGCAAATCATTTTATTTTTCAGCATTAGTATAAGGAGTCCATATTTTATTAATTTATTTTATCGTCGGATATTTTTTGATCGACAACCGCAGGTATCTGCTAGTTTCATAAAAAAGATATTGCTAACAGTATTAAAAAAAGCATTTGTGACAAGGCCTTTGAAGCGAGATGATGCAAATGGGAAAACAAAAGATGCGGTATCAATGTATCTAGATTCGAATGTATTAAATTTTATGCTTTTCAGTCCATGCTGTAACAATTTAACAAAAATATTACTAGTTATTAATTGTTTATAAATTTTTTTTCTTTTTTAATTCTTTTCACAATTTTTTCAATTTTTCTCCTATTTTACTATGTCATGCCTGAATCATGTTTTAAAATTATACATTCATCTTCCTTAATTATGATTTGTCAGATTTTTATAAGTTTTGTCTTTATTTTTGTCAAGGATTTTAAAAAATACATATTAAGGCCAGTGAATATGTAGCACTCTGTATATGTTTATAAAACCAGTGAAAACTACTCTTCATATGCTTCATAGAGCCCTATATGAATTTTTATTTTTTTCAAAAAGATAAGTCAAATTCTGATTAATGTAGTTTTTTTATTATAATCCTCAGGTACTGGTAAAACAACAACTCTCATTCATCTAGCTCAACTGTATCCTCAAGTTAAGTTTCTCAATGTTATGTATAACAAGTGAGTATGGTTTAATTTATTTAATTATTTTTGTCAGTTTATTCAAATTTGTATATTTCTGTTCATTATGTATTTTTTTCAATGCTAATTCTAAATAAATTCTCGTGGACTGCACAAAATATAAATGTTAGCTTTCTTAATAAATAGAAACAGGCTCTTATTATCTTCAAATTTCCTGAAACTCTCATGACCACTGCATATTTGAATCAGGAAGTTCCTGATTGTTTAAAGGGCTTCTCTGCATATGTTGGCACTGGTTGTAAATCTATTTCGCTATCTTCATTTTGCACATCTTTTTTTCTTTTTTTTTAACCAACAGCACCTAAGTTTTAACATTTTCATTAGCTGATGGATAAATATCAAATTCGAAATTTAAAGTATTTTCCCCAAACTTTTACAAATTCTCATCTTCTTCATCATTAGTTATTGTTTTTCATTTTTAAAACGAAGGAAATAACTATATATTTTTATTTAATGTCAATAGGTTTTCTAAATGATAGATGAAAAACGATGTGAACAGGTACTTTTAATGCTATAAGAATAGCATTTGTGACGGGAAACATTAAGTGATCAGGGGTCTCACACATCTGTGCAGATGATCTTTGTATCGGTAGCCTTTTTTCCAAGATATTTCAAAATCTCTTTATTTTTCATGTATAACAATTACCCCAGCTATGACTGGTCGACACGAATTTCGCACTCAGCTTGCAACGAACACAGTGTTGACGTGAAATATCCTCAGTGGTATGTGGATCATGGGTTAGAGTCCCTTTGCCATCAGCCTAGCTGTTTGGAGATTTTTGTGGTTTTCCTCTCCGTGTAACTCAAATGTAGGTTAGTTCCATCAAAAAGTCCTTCTTTGGATAGTGTTTGAAATTACAAGGTTACGGTGCTGAATATTAGTTGTCGTAAACCCAAAAATTGGGTCCGCTCTTCAACGACGGTTTTAAAATAAAATATAACACTCAGAATTTAAATTGCACATTTGATTAGTCATTCTTTGACTTGAAGTGACAATCCCACCGTTTTCTTAGTCAACTTTTTTTGCAGTTCTGATTTCCATGTGGATATTAAAATCCAATTATGTTTTATATGATGTTGGTGGATAGTGATATTCAAATCGCTTGTTTGAGTAATCACTTTTCGACATTTCTCAATTAGTTCATGTGGCCAAATTTTGAATAAAAAGCATTTGGTTGTATTTGGTATTTTAGCAGTTAATATTGCTGATTTTCATATGGTTTTTTAAAATCCCAATATATTCCTTACAATAATATTATGCAACGAGAAATTCGAATGCGCACTTGAGTATTCATTATTTAACTAGATAGTTCTATCGGTTTTTGGATTGATTTTTTAGCAGTTATTGTTATTGATTTTCGTATGATTTTTAAAACTTTGCTGTTTTTAATACGATATAATTTATTAACATGTGAATTTTTAAACATTTGAGATTTTTTATCAATCTTTCTTTTTTTTTTGCAGTAATTGCTGTGGATTTTATGGTTTTTAAAATTGCTAATTATTTAATGCGATGAGGACTTTTAAAATGAGAAAAAAAAGAAAATTATTATTTTATTTTTTTAAATATTTAATATATATTCCTTTGTGTTGATGAGAAAAATATTTATTGCATAGAACTTAGTTTTCTTTTACTCTTTAAATTTTATAAAAGTTACTTTTGTATATGAAAAACAATTTTCAGTGTAAAAAAAAAGTAAATACCCATTGAAAAAAGATTGTTTAGTTTCATAGTGAAGCTGAAAAAACCATAATCTAAAACTAACTATAGTTTCTAAAATAATTTGAGATAATTTTTTCTTTCAATAATCACATGAGCTACAATTATTTTTTTATGAGATTAGATTTATTGCATTTTATTAAATTAATAAACAGTAATTTGTTGAATGAAATTTTCATCACAGTTTTACTTGGATAAATACTGTTTTAATGCTAACTGTAAAATTTTTATTAATTAATACTGTAAAACTAATTTGTATTATTTTGGGAAAACCTACTTGATTTTTTTTCCTTTTCATTTTTTGCAGTATTTAGTCTTATTAAAGTATTGGAATAATTTAAATTTTTACATAACAGGCTTACTTAACATTTTATTTCTAACCATATATTTCTGTAAAAGAAAGAAAAAATCGAGTTTGGAAGATTGCTCCAAATACCTCTGTACCTTGCTAATACCAAATACAGTAGAGAACCATTTATCCGGTATCCAGAAAACTGGGAAAAATTTTGATCAGTTTTCCCGCCATTTTAAACTAGAATGATTATGAAAAATAGCGGAAATTGAACTCATCCTTGAAGTTGAGTCGAGGAAAATGTAGGGAAGGGGAGAATTTTTTTCCCCGTTTACCCAGAGAAACGTCATTGCCTCCGTGACCTTGAAGGCAGGGAGGAAGGAATGTTTTATTTTCTTCTTTAGGCTGTCAATCAAGCTCAAGGGTGTGGCATGCTGCTTTCGTTTTCTGTTTGATTTACGAGGGGGTGGGGAAAATGCATTGCATGCATATCAGTGAACAGAAGATGAAAGAGAAAAATATATTTATCTATTTGACATCGATTAATAAAAATAAAATCTTTTTCTTCTAAATAAATTTTCATTCTATGGAAGTGTGGTATCATTTGCAAGTTCTTATTGATGTGTTTTTATCAAAAAAAAAGGAAAAAAAAAGGAGAATTGTTTATTAATTTAAACACAGGATTATTTTATGAAGCAAATTGCAGTTTTGTTTTTTTCGATTCCACTACGTTTGATATTTTTTTCTTTTCACGATAAATTTCGCACTTAATAAATTAATTCTTTTTATTCATAAATTTTATCATTAGGTTTTTTTTAAAAATTCTGTTGATCTAGCCTTGTTCCGGGTTTTAATATTTATGCTAGTGCCTTTTTTAACTATCGCTTCGGTTCGATAATTTTCTAGTGTTTTTATTTAGATTAATAAGTTTTCCTTTTATTTTATCGTTTCCCCAATATAGTTAGGTATGAAATATATTGCGTTATTTAACCATTGGTTTTGTTTATATTAGTTAATTTAGGAATTGTAATTATTTTTAAAAAATAAATACG